CATCAAACAACACACTGGAAATCCTTGCATTGATTTTAGTACACCAGTAAGACGATTTCATATGCATCTTACTCAGTCTCCAAGCTGTAGTTTGTGTTCCTCAGGGGAGCCTGGTACTTTTTTGCATTACTTTTGGTTTTGTTCTAAGGTCCTTAATTTCTGGCATCAGGTTGCCACTGATCTTACAGTCCTACTAGACCATGATGTTCCACGCTAAGCATTGATTTTTCTTTTAAATGATTTTTCTTCTCTTAATATTTCAGTTCAGCAGAAACGACTATTGCTCTGTACTTTGACAGCTGCAAAGAAACTTGGTCAATCGATGTAGTCCTCCTCATTCCATCTCAAGACGGCAGTGGATTTTGTCTGCGCTTGATATTATTTCTTTGGAGCTTTCAGTTGCTCGTGTACACGGTGCTCAGTCAAGAACTATTAATGCTTAGAAGAAGGCGCTCCAATCAGTGGAATGTTTACCAGGCCCTTGCTAGAGTTACCTATTAGTTTTTGTATTTTAGGAGGAGTCCCGTTATTTAACCCACACATATGTTTATGTATGTTTGTTTATTTATTTATTTACTTACTTATTTATTTTCTCACTTTTGTTTTCATGAAGTTATGTTCTGATACATGCATGCGTATGTAGGTGTACCTATGTTTTATATATACTGTCCGAAACACATCCGGGAGGGAGACGTGGGGAGGGAAAGGGAAGGTTGTTTGTTCTTATGTTGTATGTATGCCAACATATAAGTTAAAAGACAATAAAACAATTGTTCACACCTAGATAACAAAGCTGAAGCTCTTATTCTGGACACATTATGATGTAAAGCAATTCATTAGCAAAGATAATTATCCTCAGTACAGTATCAGCAACAAGACAGATGGAGACAATCAGAGGAATCATGAATCAGAAAAACTCCAGCATTATAAAGCTGAAGATCCAAACAGAAGACAGGACAAAGTCCAGAATTATTTATCCATGTTAATAACATTGTGATTAAGTATATGGTCAATGAAGGACTTTTTGTTTTCACAACACTGATCACACAGAAAAGGGAAGGAAGTTAGAGCTGGACTGCACAGCTCATATTCACACAAGACATAAATCACACTCACACACCCCTCACAGCTCAGTTCAAGTCAACTAGAAAAGAGTGAAAAGACTTCGTTAGAGAATGTAAGTAACATTTTCTTTACTAGAGCTGTTCTGTATGAAACTGTTTAAAACTGTGAGTGATATAGTCGTCCAAATTCAGTAAAGGTAAATGATTGGCCACTGTGGTTAGTGTGTGTTTCAGTTCACTTTCTGAATCTGATCTGAGCTCAGACAGATTAAAAAAAACTTACTATGAGCTATTTTTGTACTTTTTAAAGTGTAATTACAACAACCAGTGGTCACATAAGTTATCTGAAGGAACAGCACTTTGAGAAATGATTCCTGCTCAGAACTGTCCATTTCTCTGTGTGTGTTAGTTTCTGTCTTAGTGTCTGTATCTCTGACTTCTCTGTGAAGATCAGTCTGACCTGTATCTCATACACCTGTATGGTGAATATTGCAGATTTGTGATTTTTTTGTGAATTAATCTACTGTATAGTGGTTTGTTGGTTTTGTCCTGAATATCAGTTTTTCTTACTGTCCTACAGAGATTTTGGTCTTCTGGACCTGGAATTGACTTTAAATATTTTAACTTTCATTTTCTTTTAAGTGTTGACAGATAACCCCTCACAATCTCAGGCTTAGTACATACTGAGGCTTATTATTCAGTAACTAAAGGGACTTCAGTGCAAACTGGCTGAGCTATTCTTAGGTTATAGAAGTGTATAATAAAGCCTTGAGCCCACTGACAGGCCCTGGCCATTTAAGGGGTTAACAGGAAGTGTTTTGGTATCTGTTCTGTAATTTTCTTTACTGGAAAAACTGAAAGACTTTGTGGTGAGAAAAAAAAAAATTCTGGACTTCATTAATAACATTACAATAAACTGACAAAGGTTTATAACAAAGTTTGTCAAGATATTCTTTTTATGCGTAAAATATGTGATATATAATTATACTGTATGTTGAAAAATAATAAGTATTCATTAAACCTGCAGAAAGGGCTCCTTCAGTGCTAGATCTATTTCTGTTTCTGCTGATATCAGGTCAGGTGGAACCATAAACTTCACATATGGAATCATATCACTGATCATCCTGCTGAACATTACAGGTAGGATTATTCTGATTTTACTGAACTGAGTTTAGTGTTGATTAGAGAGAGAGAGAGAGATGTTATGGACTCCTCTTCCCAGAATCCCTCAGTTTCTCACATGACTCCAGATCTCAGTCAGCTGAATAGTGATTACATCACCTGTTTTTCCATGTATATAAGCCTGTCTGTTTGCACTTTGTCTTTGCATAGTATTGCCCTGACCTGTCAGTGCAGACTGAGCCATTCTTTGTTTAATTGTATGACCTCGCTTGTTTATTCGACTCTGTTAGTGTCTTCGCGCATGTATTGTGTTTGGTTAATATGGTTGCTGACCTGGTCTGGTTGGTCAGGTTCATTCTCCTTTTAATAAACCTTACGATTTATCGTTTACCTGTGAGTGTCTAATTAATTGATCTAGCATTAAAGAGAGTAAATCTATAAAGCAAAAGTGTTATTTTCTAAATCACCCCAAATTAAGATTAGCTGATGGGCAGCTGCTTTCACAGTATGAACTGAATTACGGTGTTTTAATGGATAACTAGTAAAATTTAACTAATTATGAACTAATTGGGTATTTAGAGTTATTTATCATTGTTTAACATATTCATATGACTTTATAACACATATATAAGCTTTATTTCACAATGAAGTAATATGCTTATACTTCATAATTTAAAAAGTCAGGAATATAATAATCTCCAATACACTAATAACGTGTGTGCTTTTTGTCTATGACTTAATAATAAATAAATAATGAACAACTCTGAAAATCAGAGTTTACTGATCATTAGTGAATATTGTGGTGAGAATATAGAATAAAATACAGGAAACATTGTGCTGGAAACAAGGTGAGTGCTCTGTTATTGAACAGACAGCACAGGAGAACTACCTCTCAGAAAGCTGTGCAGGCCATCAAAAGCCACACAACTCCAGTCCACAGACCCACTCCCACCAACACACACCCAGACAATAACACACAGATAACACACAAACACAGTGAGGGCAACGCTTCCCAAGATCCTCTTCACATGACCCATGCCTCCCCACTCATACAGCCACATGAGCCAGTAGCAGAACACTACAATATAGAAGGAGTGTTTTTACCAATAATATTAATAATAATAATAATAATAATAATGACATTGACTGCTAATAACAATATTGACTGTCATGTGTTTTACAATATATATATATATATATATATATATATATATATGTATATATATATATATAAATAAATGCTATAGAAGTAATGTATGTAATGTATGCCATTTTTTGCACCCTGTAATTTAAAGTAAAAACAGTTCAGTTTATATAATAATCTATAAATGCACAAACAACATTTACAAAATTCTTTAAACTGAACTATACGTAGAATAGAGCAGTTACACATATTAAGCTAAGAACAGAAATACTTTAAGTCATTTCTAAACCACACTCAAGTAGTTTTGTATGGTATTTCAAACTCATTTTAATATATTGATTAATAATGAACATCACATTAGTTCATAAATAATCTATAATGAATAAAGTGTTACCAACATTTGTTTAGCATGTAAGTCATGGAAACAGCATACAAGTACACAGTTTGATTACTGATCATCATTATTAACAGTATTGTTAACAGTAAAGTTACAGAGTAACTCAGAATAAACACCAAGAAGGAACAAGAAACACAAGAAACTGAAGATTGGGAATGAAACAATGAACTAGACAAGTTTATGTATAAATATATTTCAGTGTTGCTGCAGTAACTGACCAGCTCTTCAGACAGAGATTAGAGATGAGATTGGTGAACAAGAAGGGCTGCAGTTCTGAAGGAATTTGGCTTCCAATTGTAGAAATAACCTGCTTAATCAGAACTAACATCAGTCAGATTCTGTAAAAGTGTTGATTTGAGTGACTCCTGCAGACTCAGTGCTGCCAACTGTTTCAGTTTCAGGTTCTTTGGGTGAGACTCTGAGAGTGACCTGCAGTCCTCGGACTATCTGTGCTCTACGGGAATCAACAGTGACCCTGCAGTGCTCTCACTCAAACACCAACATCAGACCTCAGCACAGCTTCTGGTTCAGCAACAAACAAAAAGCTAAATGGAGGAACGAGGAAGATCCAGAGGATTTAGCTTTAGACTCAGACTACGCAGGACGAGTGAGATACACAACCGGCCCATACAGATACAGCTCAACTCTTACAATAACAGAGCTGAGAAACAGAGACTCAGGAGAATATCACCTCATGATCATTACAGAAACAGGACAGAAATATTCCAGCTCAACAGCAGTTACTCTAACAGTTTCAGGTAATACAGCTCAACTACAGTTTTTGATGTCAAAATATATAATTACAATATTTGCTGGAATACTTTGAAATTCATTTCCACTCAGATCTGAAGATGAGGATGACCTCTGACACTAAAAATCAGACGGAGCTGACCTGTAGCTCTTCATGCAGTCTGACCTCTAAACCTTCTTATTACTACTGGTACAAAAATGGACGATATCAGCACACAACAAATGAACATCAGAAGGTTTTGAGTTCATATAGCAGTGATGATCCTGGCAGCTACTCCTGCTCTGTTAGCAGCCATCCTGAAATCCGATCCAATACAGTGTGTGAGTATGAAAGCTGTTCATATCTAATTGTTCAGTACTGATAAAAACAAAAACAGTGACAATCTTTTACTTTCACAGGTGTTTTTGACGAGAACTGCTGGAGTGTGACCTACTCAGACAGAAGAGTCTGTGCTTTGGAGGGGTCATCAGTGGACTTTCTCTGCACTTACTCATATCCCAGAGATCAGACAGTTAATAAAACATTCTGGCATAACTTTGGGCTGACAGATCTGAGTGTGGAAGAGCAGTTTACTGGTCGAGTGGAGTTTCTTGGAGATAAAGAGAGAAGCTGCACTCTGAGAATGAACAATCTGACAAAGAGTGACTCTGGAGAATATCGCTTTAGATTGATCACTGATACTGCAGGAGGGAGTTTCTCTGGTTATCCTGGAGTCATTCTGAGTGTTACAGGTATCTGTCCACACAAGTCTCTTCCTACTCACAATGCTTCATATGTCAAAATATTAGAAACACTGCACTTTCTATTTCTTTGCATGTTCAGATCTTCAGGTGAAAATGAGTCCCACCACTCCATCAGAAGGACAGACAGTAACACTGACCTGTATCTCCACCTGCACTCTGCCTAACAACACTCCTTACATCTGGTACAAGAACGGACAGCCTGTAACTAACAAACCCACCAGATACAACAAGCTGTACCTGGAGTCAGCAAACACTGAGGATGTTCTCCAGTATTCTTGTGCTTTAGGAGGTAACAGTTCTATGTACTAGCATATATCTAGCATGTTTTCAGAAATAACACTTTACCCTCACCATCATGATATGACAAACATCATTATTGTAGTATGTTTGGCATTGTTTGTTACATTATAAATAAAAGATTTTCAGTGTCATCCTCTGTACATAATCATGTTGTTCATTGTTTATTTCTGAATCTCCTGAAGGTTCAGAGGAGAGCACAGTGTTAATGTTCATCACAGTGGGAGTGTCAGTCTTTCTGGCTCTAATCCTCATCACAGTATCGATGTGGAGGTGCAGTTTGATCAGGAGGAAGAGAAAAGCAGTGAGAGATGCAGATGTTCAGGTACTGAGAGATGTTATTGCTTTCTTATGAACATGTTCCTATAAAGCTGCTGCTGAATAAATACTGAAGTTATATTGTTCTTATCTTTCTCTAATAGACCACAAAACCTAGAGACGACACCTACTCAGCTCTAAACCCCACCACCATGTCCTCAGATTACGACACTCTGACAGTGAGTCCATTGTATGACTGTAAAAGTGTTTTCCTGGTTTGTGTATTTGGTTTCATATTTTTTATTATTCTTGTATCTTCCAGCATCTTAGAGACTCTCCCAGTGACACCTACACAGCTCTGTATCCCACCACCATGTCCTCAGATTACGACACTCTGACAGTACAAACTGAAAATACACCAATATTAAATAAATGAATTGTGATGTTTTAAGTGACTGGTTTATGTAAAATGGACAAAGTTAAATACATTTCAATTAACTAAAACTGTTTATTTTGAACCATCAAGAATCACATTCCAATGAATCTCAAATAAATTGCACTGAAATGTTTCACTTTTGTTCGATCAATGATTAAATTTGATGTTTAAGTTACAAAGTCTGTGTATAGTGACTCTATTTAACGAAGTGGAAATGTGTGGCATAATTAAACTGATTTCATATAAAAATGTAATTTTTGATTTGTAAGTATGCAGTGCTTCATCAGCATCATTTTAATCAACTTTTCATCCATTATTTTTATAACTTTTACCTATTTAGCCTTTTCTCTTGTAAATACTTGCAAAATATCAATGTAAAGTGCTAATATTAATAACCTGATAGCCAATGAGTCACATAGAGAAAGCTACATTTGTCCTCAGCAACATTGTTTACTTTGACACTTATTCTACCCTATCTTTTGTACAAATCTTTCCCTGTAACACTTTATAAAAACTTTTTATAATAAATAATCAAATCATTAATAGTTATGAAGAAATCCTGAGATAATTAGAAATTCAAAGTGCTCACATTTTTAAATGGCAGTTCATGTAGTTGTTAATATTTATATTCATATTTACAAAATAACAGGTGTTTTCCTGTACATTTACAATAAGCACATTCACTAATAAATAAGGAGCTGTGCATCAGTTCATGTATATGGATTACTGCAGCAAATTACTCAAAGGTGTAACAATGAGACAGAGACAAACTTCATGCTTTATCTCATATATATATATATATATATATATATATATATATATATATATATATACACTTAATTAGATATCATATAAATATTAAATATAATATAAATGATTAGATAACTTATTTGTGAAGTTATAATAATAATTCCTGTTAACAGATGCATGTAAAATATATGCTTCTTTAGTTGTAGACTTTTTTGTTATAGTTAACGTCAAGTTGAAACTAAATAATGCTGTTTAAAAGCTTCCTTTGTCCTGTATGAACTAATGATTTGTTCATAGCTATTATTGATCCGTTAATGGTTCGTGAAAGAAAGTTACTATGAAGTGTTAGCAGTTTTCCCTACTGAGCTTTTTGTGAATTTGTATTAAATATGACTCCATAAATGTTGATGTGTTTAAAACTTTTCACTAAAGCAGCATTTTGACAGTTAAAATGTAATAACTAATAATAACTTAAGTTATAATGTTAATAATTAATAAATGGTCATAAGGCCATTTGAATTACCAAGATGTATCAAACCAACCAGGAAAACCTATGAAATTCTGTGATTCTCCAAGTACAACGTAGAACACCACATCTGGGAGCAGATTAATAGAACAAAGAACAACAAATACCAAGGGTAGTTTAGGCAGAAGACAGATATCTGAGAATGAGTGAGCAGTAAACCAGTAAAGGAAAGTTACTGACTGTTCCACTTCTCGAATGCTGCCTCACAACCACAAAGATCACAACAGTACCACATTAATTTTCTATAAATACTTGCGACCAAATGCAATCAAACTCAAATTATAACTAAAAATGCTTTTAGAAAATTATAATTACAAATTAAGTTTCCAACTAACTTCACTTTTAAGAGACATTTTTGAAAATGTAATTCTGTATTATGGTTTTGGTATCTTTGTTAGTGTTGAAACTGTTTTAACCCTTAGAAACCTAAAATTTGAGGGATTTTTTGGTATTTTTGGGGTCAATTACAATTACCATTGCAATTATAGTATAAAAGTATAGTAATTAAAGTATTTACATGCGACAGTCACACATGTCATATTTTGTTATTTTCAGGAGATGCTAGTCTACTCAGATATGCCATTTTTTGACAAATAAATGCTAACAGAAATTTGCACAAACAAAAATGTACCTAGCGGCTGCTAAACTTTCTATTTTTTTTTGTTAAAGAGATCTTGAAAACAAGTGCAGTTGTAGTTATCTTTTCAGAAATTGTTAGTCTGGAGTGTCTGTGAGCTGAAAGTGCAATAATTTTGATGGTGATTCATTCTGTTGGTTATTATGAGCAAAAATAAATGCGTAGCATAAGGCAGACATGTTTTTTATTGATTTCCTGTCCTCTTGGATTCAGGCCGAGTCCTAAAACTCTGATACACAGCAAGACAGACTTTATTTTTAATTACAAACTGAGTTGCATATTTAATATCAGATATTTTTAATACTCGAAATCAATGTAAACTGAAAGCCCTTCATTTAAAATATGAAAAGCACTGATGTAATATAACAATAGCGAGTGGGTTTGGGTGATTTTGGATCTCTGGCTGATGGACGGTCACAGGTGGATCAAATCACTCTGGATGGTGAGGCAGAGTCTGATGAGTGATCTGATTGTGAATCATGTCGCTGTTTTAACTCTTTGTTTGAATTTGAAGGCCAAACAGCAGAGCAATAATATCAGGATTTTAGGTGCCAAATTGCTCACTGATGCTGACATCACAGCTCATCACACTTGCTAGTTAGGGGTGGGTCTGCTGAATGTCCTGATATGTGGATCATGTTTGTATCTTAAACCGTTCTGAAGTTATGAAGGCCAGAAGTGACCGAACGTCTCTGGGTCCTAAGGGTTAAACTGAGATCAGTTCCTGTGTTTATGGGATCATCAATGAACTTCACACTTCCTTGTGTCTCTTATGCTTCTATTAATGGTTGACTATAGAAACAGCAGCAGCAGTAACATGTTGTCTATCAGAGATGTATAGTACTGTGCAAAACTCAGGAAACCCCTTCATTTATTTAACTTCAACGTAAAACAGACATTTAGTACAAGTTATTCATTTTTCAGACCTTGAAAAACTGAGAGTAAGTCAGATTTGTTCTGAGACTGAAAAACTGAAAACACAATATTGAAATCACTTGAGCAGAAAATCTGACTATTAAGTACAAAACCAGACACCAACCATAGCTTGATGAACAGCAAAGATTATATGAAGCAAATGGAGAAACGTTCCTTAGAACCCTACTGAATCTCATCCTATAGAACTCTATTGAAGCTCAGCTCATGCAACCCGACTGTAGCTCAAGCCTTAGAATCCCACTGAAGCTCATCCTCCAGAATCCTATGGAAGCTCAGCCCATACAATCCTACTGAAGGGGAAAACACAGAATCCCACTAAAGCTCATCCTATAGAACTCCACTGATGTTCATCCCAAAGAACACTACTTAAGTGCATCACATAGAACCCTACTAAAGCTCAACTACTAGACAAGCAAATGGATCCTAGAGATGATCAAATCTCATCTCTCACTGGTGCTGTTTAATAACTAAGTCTACACCCTCAGTTAGCCTAGCATTGCAAATCTTAAAGCTTACTGTTGTGATGGTAACTGGATGAACAAAAGCTGTATAATACTGCATGTGCCCTAAAGGTGCTAGTGGGTATTGACATTACCATAGTATTGATAATGGGATAAACAAAGGAGACTTTTAATCCTTGTTATGAAAGTTGCTCATAAATAATCAAACAGTGAGATACCGAATTAGCTACTGAATCAGAATCAGAATCACTTTATTTTGACATGTATGTTAGATGTACAAGGAATCTGTCTTGGTGAATCACATGTATGACACGTAACACATTGAAAAGAACAGACAAGCAAACAGACTCTTAACAAAGGCTTAATTCAGGGACAAATAAAATAATAATAAAATAAATAGAATAAAGAATTAATAGCGAATGTAGCAAAGAGCCAGTGTGAAAGAAGCTAAAGAAATTTATGATCTATATAATAGATCTAAATCTAAATAATATTAACATTTGTAAATAGGTTCATTCGTATAGTGTAAACAAGCCTCGTGCTACAGGAGGAGTTACTGTAATGCAGTGAGGAAAGTTTGATGGTCAGTTTGAGTTTAAAGTGTGACATGCCCACTCTGGGGGAAAAAGCTGTTAGCATGTCTGGCTGTGCTGGTTTTAGTGGTCCTAAATCTTCTACCACAGGGGAATGTTTGGAAGAGGTGATGTCCAGGCTGAGAGTGGTCAGCTGAACCTTGCTAGCACACATCATTACCCTGCTGTTGTAGACATCCTGAAGTGTTGGCAGATAGATCCAATGATCCTCTCTGCTGTCCTGATTATGTGCTGGAGTTCAGCTCGTTCTTGTGAGGTGGCTCTCTTAGCGATAAAGACTGTGTTCCCCTCCAACTTCAGGTCCCTGGATATATTGGTGCAAAGGAAATTTGAGGGACTCCACTGTGGAAAGAGAGCTGTTGGGTAGTTTGGTTGAGCAGAAGTGGTTGCTCAGTGATGCAGTTCTAAAGACATGCAGATGATGTTTTACATTTCAGTGGTAATTTCAAGGAAAAACAATGGAATAAAATTCAGCCCCTCTCTTAGGAACCTACTGAAACAGAAACTCACCATAATATAATTCATTAATTCTAGTGAATTTCTCACACTGTGCTAACTTACTGAAAGTGAGCTGAGAGGAGCATGTGAGTGTGATGTGCTGTATGCTGAATATATTCTACTGCAGTTCTACTCTAACTTCATTCCCTTTACTGTGCTGACAGTACAGTTAATTGCACCCATTATTCATAAAAACTGACGACTTGCATAAAATTCCAGCTAACTTCACTTTAAAGAGACAAAAAAAATCTAATTCCATATTACGGCTTTGGTCTCTAAATTAAAGTGTTGAAACTGTTTTAAACTGAGGTCAGTTCCTCTTTTCCTTCACACTTCCTTGTGCCTCTCATGTTTCTAATAATGTTTAATTATTAATAGAAACAGCAACAGCAGCAGAAGTGGCAGTCACACATTGTCCATCAGATACACAGCACTGTGCAAACATTTATTCTTAATTTCTATTCAAACCAACCATCAAGTACAGATTATTGATTTTTCAGATTTTGTTGAAAAACTGAAAACGAGGCAAATTTGTGCTGACACTGAAAAACTGAGAGCACCAGCCCTGCAACTGAAAACTCAGACCCATTTGACGTGACATGATCACTTGTGGTGGGTGGACAATAGACCAGAATGCAGGAGTTCAAACTGGACTGTTCAGTACAAAATCGGACACCAGGTGACCTCAGCTTGACAGACATTAAAGATTACATAAAACCAGTGGAGGAACGTTCCACAGAACCCTACTAAAGCTCATCCCATATAAGCCTACTTAAGCACAGCACACAGAACCCTACCAAACAAACCTCTCACTAGAACCCTAGAGAACCAAGCTGAAGCTCTTATTTTGCACATATTATTGTAAGAACCAACTCACTGGCAAAGACAATTATGCTCAGAACCAGTAACAAGATGGATGGAGACAATCAGAGGAATCAACAATCAGAGGAAACTCAAGCATTAAGAATCCTGAGGATCCAATAAGAAGACAGGGCGGTCTGGAGAAACAGTGTCCAAATGGTCAGCAGGGGTCAGAACAGACTTCACAGCACTTTATTATAATAAAAATAATCTTGGCTTGTTAATAGACTTTGATTATTTCTTTACATTAAACATAGAGCTTTGCATCTGTCATGTACTGTTTTATATAAACATCTATAACAAAGTCCAAAGTTACTTATTCATGTTAATAACAATGTGACTAAGTATAAATGAACAGTAAATGAAGGAAGGAACTTCTGAAAACACAGAAAAGGGAAGGAAGTTCGAGCTGGACTGCAGTAGCTCATATTTACCGCACTCACACTCCTCACAGCGAACTTTAAGTGGACTACAAAAGAGTGGACAGTGTTCATTACAGAATGTAAGTAACATGTTCTTTACTAGAGCTGCTCTGTATGCAAACTGTTTAAAACTGTGAGGGATTTAACTGTGTGAATACAGTGAAACGGAGAAGTTCGAGCACTGTGGTTAAAGTGTTCACTTTCTCAACCTGATCTGAGCTCAACAAGATAAAAAAAGAGTTATTTTTGTACTTATTAATGTGTAATTACAACAACTAATGGCAAAATTGCAAGTTATCTGAAGGAATAACACTTTGAGAAATGATTCCTACTCATTCTCTCTGTGTGTTAGTCTTAGTCTTGGTCTCTTTGTCTTTGGCTTCTCTGTGTAGATCACTCTGATCTGTATCTCATACAGCTGTATGGTGAATAATGTAGATCTGTGAATAAAAACTGCTTCAGCTATTTTATTCTACCCTGTAGATGTAAAATGGCTCATCAGTTCAACCTAAAAAAGTACTTCATGTAGTAAAAAGCAATTGAACTAGTTTTAGTCAACTCAAAAATTACTTGTTCAGTCAAGCCTTTGGTAATTAGTTTTTCAAGTTAGAGGATGGTGGAGCAGAGGGGCGCTGATATCTCAGAGAGCCCCCATATCTCAGTTACCTTTCTGTCTCTTCCTCTTAGTGAGGCTGTAATAGCTCAACCTGCCACTTCTGGCCAGCCTTCTGGACCAGTTTGACCACCAAGGAACTTCTGCTGTACAGCACTGTGCAAACCTCACCTGCAAGAACTGACCCTTCTGATGATGCTGCTGCATCTTATATATAAATAAACTTTGACTTTATCTTTGATTGAATGAATCCTTCATTTAAAGCATTTATTTATGTTGAAGAAAACGAGTTAATTTAAATGTTACCACATGAAGTTGAACTGATAAGCCATTTTATTTAGTGTGCAGTACACTGGTTTGTTAGTAGATTCTTGTTTTATTTCTAGAACATCAGTTTTGGTCTTCTGGATGTGTAATTGACTTTAAATGATTCACCTTCCATTTCTTTTGAGTGATGAAAGTTAACCCCTTAAAATCAAGGCTTATATATATACACACACATATTAGAGCTTATTATTCAGTAACTACAGGGACTTCAGATATTCCATCAACTGCTAGTACTTTTATCACTACTGACTTTTCAAAAGGATTTGATAAAGTGGATTTGACTGTTGCTATGAAACGACTGGTACAGTTAGAAGTCAGGCCTGCTTTAATGCCTTGGCTCTGTAGCTTTGTGTGTGGTCGTCTGCAAAGAGTTCGGTATCAGAGTTGCTACTCTGATTGGCAAGAACTTACTGGGGGAGTGGCACATGGTACATTACTGGGGTTGATGTTGAATCCAACCAAATGCATCATCATGACAGTGACTTTTAAGAAGAACCCACCTCCCCCTAAACCATTTATAGAATGGCTTACATCTTTATGAGGCATACGTTGTCTTGCTAATTTATTTATTTATTTATTTTATTTTTTCTTTCTTTTATAAATGTGTAAGTGAGCAATAAATTCAATTCAATTCAGTGCAAACTTGTTGGGCGATTCTTAGGTTCTAATGTGTGATAAAACTTTGGGCCCACCTGGCAATTTGAGTTTATTTATATAGCGCCTTTTACAACAGGCGTTGTCACAAAGCAGCTTTACAGAAAAATCAAGGTATGAGCCCCCATCAGCCTCACCAATGGCGACAGTGGCAAGACAAAAACCTCGCTAGGAGGAAGAAACCTTGAGAGGAACCGAGACTCAAAAAGGGAACCGAGAAGAATAAGAAGAATAAGGGGAGGAGAATAAGGTTTGACCATCACAATAAGTATAAGAATTAGCGTTGTGCAGTAGCAGCAGCAGCGGCAGTATAAAGGTTTACAACAAATTCTATCCAGATATTTGTATACATAAAAATATTATGTATGTTTTTGTTTTATGTTGTAAAATAATAAATATTCAACAAACCTGTGGAAAGAGCTCTTTGCTAGATCTCTTTCTGTTTCTGGTGTCAGGTCAGGTGGAACCATGAACTTCACATATAGAATCCTATCCCTGATCATCCTGCTGAACATTACAGGTATTTAGATATATTTATCATTATTTAATATGTAAGCTTTTACATCACAATGAAGTAATAAGCTTCTACATCATAATTTACAAAAGCATGTACTAACCAGGAATTTAATCACTATTAGTTTATAAAGTAACAGTTTTCTTTTATAACTTTATAATGAGTTACTAATGAACAAATCTGAAAATAATTTGATCCATCTGATCATTAGTGAATATTGTGGTGACAGTATAGAATAAGACACACGAAACATTGTGCTTTAAGGTGAATGCTCTTTTAATGAACAGGCAGCACATGAGAACTGCCTCTCAGAAAGCTGGACAGGCCATCAAAAGTCAAACAACTCCAGTCCACAGACTTACAGAGCCACTACCACCAACCCACACCCAGATAATAACACACAGATAACACACAAACACCCTCCAGGATAACAGCAACAGCTATTAACAACAATAAAGTCTCTCCTACAGTGAGTGCAGCACTAACTACGATCCTCCTCACATGACCGCTCTGCAAAGCCACGCCTCCTGGCTCGTATGGCCATGCAAGCCAGTAGTGGAATGTTACAATATATAGGGAGTGTTTTCAAAAGGGATATTTATAATAATAACAATAACAATAATAATAATAATAATAATGACTGCTAATGCAATGTGTTCTCTGTAAACCTTAAAGCTTGTAAACATTAATAATCAGCTGTGTTTATATATATTTATATATATATATATATATATATATATGTATGTATGTTATGATGTCAACACAGATCAGACGCTCGCAGATAAAAGGACAATGTTGAAGTTTACTTGAGGTTTTGATGGATGTACAGAGGGCATAGTCAAAACAGGCGAGGGTCAGAACCAGAGAGCTAGAAAACCAAAACAAACGGGACATCCAGAGAGTAGTCAAAACCAGTCCGAGCTCAAAAACCAAATATCATACAATTCCAGCGAACACACCAAAAAAGGGCAAAGACGAAAAGGGCAGGTCAGAAATACAAAAAAACAGGTCATACATGAAAGAACTTGCAAACAAAGACCGCTCAGTACGCAACGAAAAAGGGTTGGCAATACTTCGCAAAGTTCAGAGCTAAAGCACAGGCTTTATATACAAACTGGCTTATAAGCTGTGAAGAAAAACAGGTGTGACAGTTTAGAATTCTGGTGAGGCTGAACGCTGAAAGGAATGTTCATTGGTTGATGGCAGTGGAGTAGGAGTCACGTGGTCTCCCACTGTATCATGGGAGTTGTAGTCCTCTGGGCCGTTCAAGGACTCAAGGGACCTGAGCAAAAACGAACATGTGGAGGAGGCGTCCTCGGCAGAAGGCGTGACAGTATATATATATATATATATATATATATATATATATATATATATATATATGTATATATATGTATATGTACACACACACACACACACACACACATATGAAATTAAAATTCTGTTTATACAAAAATCTAGAAATACTCAAGAACTCAAAATTGTTTAAACTAACAAAAATAAAATAATACAATACTTATTATATTAAAGAGAAGAATAGAGACCACCTGGGACAGGAGGAAAACAAACAACACAGGTGGAAACACCAATGACAAGACTGGGCTACATGGGAGGTGACAGAAGGGGCAGAGCCAGGACAATGTGACATCATCTTACTTTAGGGCCTGCAAACATAATTTATAAGTCATTTCTAAACCATAATCAAGTAATGTTTGTATGTCTTTTAAAGTCATTATAATATACTGATTAATGATAAACCCATTAGTTCATGACTAAACTATTTTGAATTAACTGCTAATAGATGTCTTATAAACCATTGTTATTATAATGCACTACCAACACTTGTTTAACATGCATGTCATGGAGAAAGCATGCAAGTACACAGTTTCATTACTGATCATCATTATTAACAGTAAAGTTACAAAGTATCTCAGAATAAACAACAAGAAGAAACAGGAAACACAGGAGTTCAAAGAACAGGAACGAAACAATGAACTAGGCATGTTTAGGAATTTTGCGACCAATTACAGAAATAACCTGTTTAATCAGAACTAATATCAGTGAGATTCAGTAGAAACGTTGATTCCTGTGATTCCTGCACACTCAGTGATTCACACTGTTTCAGTTTCAGGTTCTTTGGGTGAGACTCTGAGAGTGACCTGCAGTCCTCAGACTATCTGTGCTCTACGGGAATCAACAGTGACCCTGCAGTGCTCTCACTCAAACACCAACATCAGACCTCAGCACAGCTTCTGGTTCAGCAACAAACAAAAAGCTAAATGGAGGAACGAGGAAGATCCAGAGGATTTAGCTCTAGACTCAGACTACGCAGGACGAGTGAGATACACAACCAACAGAAACAGATACAGCTCAACTCTTACAATATCAGAGCTGAGAGAGAGAGACTCAGGAGAATATCACCTCATGATCATTACAGAAACAGGACAGAAATATTCCAGCTCAACAGCAGTTACTCTAACAGTTTCAGGTAATACAGCTCAACTACAGTGATCTGATCAGTCAGTTTAATGACTTTGTCATGTTAAAATATGTGTACAAGATATCTGATAATATATTTCTAAATTCATTTCCACTCAGATCTGAAGATGAGGATGACCTCTGACACAAAAAATCAGATGGAGCTGACCTGTAGCTCTTCATGCAGTCTGACCTCTAAACCTTATTACTACTACTGGTACAAAAATGGACAATATCAATACTCAACCAATGAACATCAGATGGTTTTGAGTTCATATAGTAGTGATGATTCCGGTGGCTACTCCTGCTCTGTTTTACACCATATTCAAATCTATTCCAATACAGTGTGTGAGTATGAAACCTGTTTATAACTCTTTATAATTGTTTACTACCACTGAAACCAAAAAACTCAATCATTTGCTTTTACAGGTATTAATGATAAGAACTGCTGGAGTGTGACCTACTCAGACAGAAGAGTCTGTGCTTTGGAGGGTTCATCAGTGGACTTTCCCTGCACTTACTCATATCCCAGAGATCAGACAGTTACTAAAACATTCTGGTATTACTTTCGGCCTCAAGTGGAGCCGACAGATCTGAGTGTGGAAGAGCAGTTTGCTGGTCGAGTGGAGTTTCTTGGAGATAAAGAGAGAAACTGCACTCTGAGAATGAACAATCTGACAAAGAGTGACTCTGGAGAATATCACTTTAGATTCATCACTGATACTGCAGGAGGGAGATTTTCTGGTGAACCTGGAGTCATTCTGAGTGTTGCAGGTATGTGTCCACACCCAACTGTAACTTAGGTTCTTCCTATTCACAATGCTGGATATGTCAGAATATTAAAAAATGCTACACATACTTTTTTTCCATGTTCAGATCTTCAGGTGAAAGTGAGTCCCACCACTCCATCAGAAGGACAGACAGTAACACTGACCTGTATCTCCACCTGCACTCTGCCCAACAACACCACTTACATCTGGTACAAGAACGGACAGCCTATAACTAACAGACCCACCAGATACAACAAGCTGTACCTGGAGTCAGCAAACACTGAGGATGTTCTCCAGTATTCTTGTGCTGTAGGAGGTAACAGTCCTATGCAGGCCTACACAGCCTGTAAAGCTTGTCCAACCTTACAATGCTAGCTACATAAAAATGTAACTGTGGTTAGAGCATGGATAAAAGCCATTACACCACTGGCTTATAATCCACCTACAGTCCATTTCAGAAGAATATTTTGTCTTTCATCCTTTATAATTCGGTAATTCCAGCACATAAGTTGGTGCATCATAATAACAAAGTTAAGTCAAATCTTAGAAGTAACATTTCTCAAATTCTGATCCTGTCATTGTGTATTTGTGATGGTCCTGAAGGTCCAGATGAGAGCACAGTGGGATGTTATCCAGTATTCTTGTGCTTTAGGAGGTAACAGTTCTATGCAGGTCTGACAGAAATAAAACTTTACCTTTACCATCATAATAGTAATGAGAAATGCTGGCTATTTCAGATTTAACTACATCTTTGTGATGTACATCATTATTATGGTATGTTTGGCATTGTTTGTTACAATATAAATAAAAGATCATGTTGTTTATTGTTTATTTATGAATCTCCTGAAGGTTCAGAGGAGAGCACAGTGTTAATGTTCATCACAGTGGGAGTGTCAGTCTTTCTGGCTCTAATCTTCATCACAGTATCGATGTGGAGGTGCAGTTTGATCAGGAGGAAGAGAAAAGCAGTGAGAGATGCAGATGTTCAGGTACTGAGAGATGTTATTGCTTTCTTATGAACATGTTCCTATAAAGCTGCTGCTGAATAAATACTGAAGTTATATTCTTCTGATCTTTCTCTAATAGACCACAAAATCTAGAGACGACACCTACTCAGCTCTAAACCCCACCACCATGTCCTCAGATTACGACACTCTGACAGTAAGTCCATTGTATGACTGTAAAAGTGTTTTCCTGGTTTCTGTATTTAGTTGTGAGTGTTTTTTATTATTCTTGTATCTTCCAGCATCTTAGAGACTCTCCCAGTGACACCTACACAGCTCTGAATCCCACCACCATGTCCTCAGATTACGACACTCTGACAGTACAAACTGAAAATACATCAATATTAAATAAATGAATTGTGATGTTTTTAAGTGACTGGTTTATGTAAAATGGACAAAGTTAATGTAAATACATTTCAGTTAACTAAAACTGTTTATTTTAAACCATCAAGAATCACATTCCAATGTATCTCACGTAACAAAGTCTGGGTATAGTGACTGTATTGAACTGAATGGAAATGTGCGGCATAATTAAACTGATTTCATATAATAATGTATTTTTTGATTTGTAAGGATGCAGTGGTTCAACCTTTCATCCAGTATTTTTATCACTCTTACCTATTTACTCGTTTCCTCCTGTAAATACTCACAAAAAAGTGCTAATATTAATAACCTGATAGCCAAGGAGTCACGTAGAGGAAGCTACAATTGTACTTAGCAACTTTATTTACTTTGACACTTATTGTATCCTGTCTGTTGTACAAATCTCTCCCTGTAACACTTAATAAAAATTTTTATAATAAATAATTAATTATTAATAGTTAGGAAGAAATCCTGAGATGAAAATCTAAGTGCACACATTTATAAATGGCAGTTCATGTATATGAATTACTGTAGGAAATTACTTAAGTGTGTGAATATGTGATAGTGACAAACTTCATGCTTTATCTAGTATGTTTATATATGAGTAATGAAAAATATCTTATGGCTAAATAATTCGATAACTTATGTGTGAAGTTATAATTCCTGTTAACAGATGTATGTAAAATATATGTTTCTTTAGTTGTAGACTTTTTGTTATAGTTAACGTCAAGTTGAAACTAAGTAGTACTGTTTAAAAGCTTCCTGTGTCTTGTATGAATGAATGATTTGTTCATAGCTATCAGTGATCAGTTAATGGTTTATGAAAGAAAGTGTATCTAGAGTGTTTGCAGTTTTCCCTGCTGAGCGCTTTGTGAATTTGTATGCGACTCAGTAAATGTTGATGTGTTTTACACTTCACTAAATCAGCATTTTGACAGTTAAATGTTAATAACTCATTAATAAATGGTCATAAGGCCATTTGAATGACCAAGATGTATCAAACCAACGAGGAAAACCTAAAATCTGTGATTCTCCAAGTACAACAAAGAAAACCTCATCTGGAAGCAGATTAATAGAACAAAGAACAACAAATACCAGGGATAGTTTAGGCAGAACACCGATATCTGAGAATGAGTGAGCAGTAAACCAGTAAAGGAAGGATGCCAACTGTTCCACATCAGGAATGCCATCCTAATGAAGACGCCACCCAACCACAAAGATCACAACAGCACCACATTAATGCCCAGTGTGCATCACTATTCACTTTTAATAGACATTTTTTAAATGTAATTCTTTATTATGGCTTTGGTCTCTATGTTAGTGCTGAAACTGTTTTAACCCTTAGAAACCTAAAATTTCAGGGATTTTGTATTTTTGGGGTCAATTACGATTACGATTGCAATTATTGTATAATACTATAGTAATTACAATATTCACATGGGACAGTCACACAGGCCATGTGTTATTTTCAGGAGACCCTGGGCTGCTCAGATATGCCATTGTTTTACATGTAAATGATCACAGAAATTTGATATCTTTAAGAATTTGGGTCATTTCTGATCAAATATTTACCCAGCACCTGCTAAATTTTGTACTCTTTAATTATAGAGATCTTGAAAACAAGTGCAGTTGTAGTTGTCTTTATAGAAGTTATTAGTCTGGAGTGTCTGTGAGCTGAAAGTGCAATAATTCTGATGGTGATTCATTCTGTTGGTTATTATGAGTAAAAATAAATGCATAGCATAAGGCGGACATGTTTTTTATTGGTTTCCTGTCCTCTTGGATTCAGGCTGAGTCCTAAAACTCTGATACACAGCAAGAAAGGCTTTATTTTTAGTTACAAACTGAGTTGCATATTTAATATCAGATATTTTTAATACTCAAAATCAATGTAAACTGAAAGCCCTTTGTTTATAATATGAAGGCTGAAAGCAAAGATGTAATATAACAGTAGCGAGTGGGTTTGGGTGATTTTGGAGCTGGATCTCTGGCTGATGGACGGTCACAGGTGGATGAGATCACTCTGGACGGTGAGGCGGGGTCTGATGATGATCTGATGTGTGAATCATGTCACTGTTTTAACCCTTTGTTGGAATATGGAGGCCAAACAGCAGAGCAATAATATCAGGATTTTAGGTGATATTCAGAGCCGAGTTACTCACTGACGCTGACGTCACAGCTTGATGATGATGTTATGCTCACTAGTTAGGGGCGGGTCTGCTGAATGTCCTGATATGTGGATCATGTTTGTATCTTAAACCATTCTGACGTTATGAAGGCTAGCAGTGACCTAACGTCTCCGGGTCCTAAGGGTTAAACTGAGGTCAGTTCCTGTGTTTATGAGATCATCATTGAACTTCACACTTCCTTGTGTCCCTTATGCTTCTATTAATGTTTGATTATAAATGGAACAGCAGCAGCAGCAGCGACATGTTGTCTATCAGAGATGTATAGTGCTGTGCAAAACTCAGGAAACCCCTTCATTTATTTAATTTCAACGTAAAACAGACATTTAGTACAACAGACTTTTTAAAAAACAAAGTAAGTCAGATTTGTTTTGAAATCGGACTGTTAAGGACAAAACCAGACACCAGTCAACCACAGCTTGATAAACAGCAAAGATTATATGAAACAAGTGGAGAAAAGTTCCTTCGAACTCTACTGATTCTCATCCTGTAGAACTCTACTGAAGCTCAGCTCATACAACCCGACTGTAGCTCAAGCCTTAGAATCCCACTGAAGCTCATCCTCCAGAATCATATGGAAGCTCAGCCCATACAATCCTACTGAAGGAGAAAACACAGAATCCCACTAAAGCTCATCCTCTAGCATCCCACTGATGTTCATCCCAAAGAACCCTACTAAAGCACATTTTGAGAACCAGTTCACTGGAAAAAAAACATTTTCTGTCTATTGGGCCATCCACTCTCTTTGGGGGCTTTAACTCACTACACAGAATGTAATTGATAAACCAATAAGCTGGCCAGGATATTGGGGTGATGTATTGTTGGTATTGGAATCAGCCAATGAGTACCTTTTTTGCACTTTTCACATACAAGAGATTGTTTGTATGATGTAACATGCTTCTTTGTGTCAAATAAATTACACACAGCAGTCAAATACTGTATGAAGAATATAGTTGTGTGGTTCTGTTTAATAACTAAGTCTGAATCCCCTCCGTTAGACAAACATTGCAAATCTTAAAGCTTACCGTTGTGATGGTAACTGGATTTAAAAAGTTGTATAACACTACATGTGCCCTAAATGTGTTAGGGGGCATTAACACTATCATACTATTGATAATGGGATAAACAAAGGCTACTTTAATTCCTTGTTATGAAAGTTGCTCATAAATAAATCACACATTGAGACCAAGCTACCGAATCAGAATCTGAATCACTTTATTTTGACAAGTAAGTTAGATGTACAAGGAATCTGTCCTGGTGAGTCACATGTATAACATATAACATATTGATCAGAACAAGCCAACAGACTCTTTACAGATGCTTAATTCAGGGAAAAATAAAAATAATAATACAACAAATAGAATAAAGAATTAATAGTGAATATAGCAAAGAGCCAATGTGAAAGAAGCTAAAGAAATGTGTACATATTTAAATAAAATCAATGTTTGTAAGTGTGAACATTTGCACAGTGTAAATAAGCATTCGGTTCCAGAGGAGTTACTGTCCTACAGTGAGGGAGGTTTGATGGAGTGTGATGTGTCCACTGTGGTTAATGAGCTACAGCTCTGGAGATAAAGCTGTTAGCATGTCTGGATGTGCTGCTTTTGATGGTCCTGAATGTGGATTGAGATGGGGTATCTGGAAGAGGTGATGTCCGGGGAGAGAGGGGTCAGCTGTAACTTTGCTGTTGTAGATGTCCTGAAGCGTTGCCACATAGATCCAATGTCCTCTCCGCTGTCCTGATTATGTGCTGAAGTTCGGCTTGTTCTTGTGAGGTGGAGGAACCAAACCAGATGGTTATGGGCTTGAGTATCGCTGTGTAGAATTGGATCATCAGGTTCAGCAGCAGTTTGAATTTCTTCAGCTGTCTCAGGAAGACCTTTCTCTGCTCTCTTAGCGATAAAGACAGTATTCCTCTCCAACTTCAGGCCCCTGGATATATTAGTGCAAAGGAATTTGAGTGACTCCACAGTGGAAACAGAGCTGTTGGGTAGTTTGGTTGAGCAGAAGTGGTTGCTTAGTGATGCAGTTCTAAAGACATGCAGATGATGTTTTACATTTCAGTGGTCATTTGAGGGAAAAACAATGGAATAAAATTCAGCCCCTCTCTTAGAAACCTACTGAAACAGAAACTCACCATAATATAATTCATTAATTCTAGTGAATTTCTCACACTGTGCTAACTTACTGAAAGTGAGCTGAGAAGAGCATGTGAGTGTGATGTGCTGTATGCTGAATATATTCTACTGCAGTTCTACTCTAACTTCATTCCCTTTACTGTGCTGACAGTACAGTAACAAACGGTTAATTGCACCCACTATTCATAAAACTGACGACTTGCATAAAATTCCAGCTAACTTTACTTTAAAGAGACATTTGTTAAAATCTAATTCCATATTATGGCTTTGGTCTCTATATTAAAGTGTTGAAACTGTTTTAAACTGAGGTCAGTTCCTCTGTTCCAACTTCCTTGTGCCTCTCATGTTTCTAATAATGTTCAATTATTAATAGAAACAGCAACAGCAGCAGAAGTGGCAGTCACACATTGTCCATCAGATACACAGCACTGTGCAAACATTTATTCTTAATTTCTATTCAAAACAATCATCAAGTACAGTTTATTCATTTTTCAGATTTTGTTGAAAAACTGGAAACAAGGCAAATTTGTGCTGACACTGAAAAACTGAGAGCACCAGCCCTGCAACTGAAAACTCAGACCCATGTGACGTGACATGATCACTTGTGGTGGGAGAAAATAGACCAGAATGCAGGAGCTCAAAACTGGACTGTTCAGTACAAAATCGGACACCAGGTGACCTCAGCTTGACAGACAGTAAAGATTACAAGAAACCAGTGGAGGAACGTTTCCACAGAACCCTACTAAAGCTCATCCCATACAAGCCTACTTAAGCACAGCACACAGAACCCTGCCAAACAAACCTCTCACTAGAACCCTAGAGAACCAAGCTGAAGCTCTTATTTTGCACATATTATTGTAAGAACCAATTCATTGGCAAAGACAATTATGCTCAGAACAACACCAGTAACAAGGTGGATGGAGACAATAAGAGGAAAGCATTAAGAATCCTGAGGATCCAATCAGAAGACAGCGCAGTCTGGAGCAACAGTGTCAAAATGGTCAGCAGGGAGTCAGAACAGACTTCACAGCACTTCATTATAATAAAAATAATCTTGGCTTGTTAATAGACTTTGATAATGTCTTTACATTAGACATGGAACCTTTGCATCTGTCATGTAATGTTTTATATAAACATCTATAACGAAGTCCAAAGTTACTTATTCATGTTAATAACAATGTGACTAAGTATAAATGAACAGTAAATGAAGGAAGGAACTTCTGAAAGCACAGAAAAGGGAAGGAAGTTCGAGCTGGACTGCAGCAGCTCATATTTACCGCACTCACACTCCTCAGAGCGAACTTTAAGTGGACTACAAAAGAGTGGACAGTGTTCATTACAGAATGTAAGTAACATGTTCTTTACTAGAGCTGCTCTGTATGCAAACTGTTTAAAACTGTGAGGGATTTAACTGTGTGAATACAGTGAAATGGAGAAGTTTGAGCACTGTGGTCTGAAGGAATAACACTGAGGAATGATTCCTACTCAGAATTGTGCATTTCTCTCTGGGTGTTAGTCTTAGTCTCTGTGTCTTTGGCCTCTCTGTGTAGATCAGTCTGATCTGTATCTCTTCCTGCTGTGATCTGTAAATAAAAACTGCTTCAATTGTATTATTCCACATTGTAGATGTAAGTTGGCTCATCAGTTCAACCTAAAAATGACTTCATGTAGTAATTAGTTTTTCCAGTTAGATGAAGGTGGAGCTGAGGGGCGCTGACATCTCAGAAAGCCCTAATGTCTCTGTTACCTCCTGTCTCTCCCTCTTAGTGGGACTCTAATAGCTTGATGTGCCGGAGTCTCTGCTACACTGTAAACTTTAATCAGTCTGTATTAACAGAACTAACTGGCTGTGTGTTTCTTTGCTGAGCTGAATAGCTGCCCATCCTGTGTGTCTGATGCTGTTCTTCATTTGCCTTGATTGGGTGCCCACTACTCGCTCTGTGGACCAGTTTGACCACCATGGAGCTTGTCTCTGTATAACACTGTGCATGAACTGACCCTCCTGATGATGCTGCTGCATGTTTGTAATCATAGACACTGCTACTCCTGCTTTTCCCCTTTTTCTGTATCTTACACTAATGATCAAACCTCATTCTCTGCTGTTACTGTTTTCTATTCGGTGTGTTCCAGAGGAGGATGGGTTCCCCTTTTGAGTCTTGGTTCCTCTCAGTGTTTCCTCCTTCTGCTCTTAGGGAGTTTCTCCTTGCCACTGTCATCATTGGCGACGATCATGGGGGCTTGGACCCAGATTTTTCTGTAAAGCTGCTTTGTGACAACACCTGCTGTAAAAAGTGCTACATAAATAACTTTGACTTTGACTTTGATTAAAAGAATCCTTCATTTAAAGTATTTATTTAGGTTGAATAAACCAAGTTAATTTAAAATGTTACCACATGAAGTAATTTTTTAGGTTGAGCTGACGAGCCATTTTTACAGTGTACAGTACAGGGGTTTGTTAGTTAGATGTTTTTTTTTTCTAGAAGATCAGTTTTTACCTCATGTCCTGCAGAGATTTTGATCTTCTGGATGTGAAATTGACTTTAAACCATTTAACTTTCATTTCTTTTAAATGTTGAAAGTTACCCCCTCAAGATCCAGACCTATTACATACTAAGGCTTATTATTCACAAATCACAGGGACTTTAGTGCAAACTTTAGCTATTCTTAGGTTAAAGTGTGTAAAAAAAACTTTGGACCCACCAACGGGACCTGGCTATTTAAGTCAAGTCAAGTCAAGGTTTATTTATATAATGCTTTTTACACCAGGTGTTGTCACAAAGCAGCTTTACAGAAGAATCGGGGTCCGAGCCCCTATGAGCGTTGGCGACAGTGGCAAGTAAAAAAAAAATTAAAAATCCCTAACATCAAGAAACCTTGAGAGGAACCAAGACTCAAAAGGGGAACCCATCCTCTTCTGGACCACACTGAATAGCAAACAATAACACAAGCATCAAGAGGGTCAGTTCACGCAGGTCAGGTTTGCCCAGTGTTGTACAGCAGAAGCTCCATGGTGGTCAAACCAGTCCAGAAGGCTGGCAAGCAGTGGGCACCCGATCAAGGCAGAAGAACCTGAATCATACCATACAGAATGGGCAGCTGTTCAACTCAGCAAAGAAACACAGAGCCAGTTAATTCTGTAAAGAGTCACTGATCACAGATTACAGTGTTAACAGAGCAGCAGAGACTTCGGCAGGTCTAGTTATTACAGCCTCACTAAGAGGGAGAGACAGAAGGTAACAGAGTCATGAGGCTCCCTGAGATGTCGGCGCCCCTCCACTCCACCATCAACAAACCTGAGTGAATGTGTGAGGCAGCGGGACGACAGCACCAACACTCCCAGTTTACCATAATACTCTATGACCATGAACCCCAGATCTGCACCTTTTATCTAACAGGAAAACTAATTACCAAAGGCTCCACTGAACAAGTAAGTTTTTAGCCTAGACTTAAATACTGAGGCTGTGTCTGAGTCCCGAACATTAACAGGAAGACTATTCCAAAGCTGGGGGGCTTTGTATGAGAAGCTCCACCCCCTGACATAGCTTTATTAATTCTAGGTACTAATGGTGAGCAGCACCTTGTGATCTAAGTAGGCGTGATGGTTCATAGTGGGACAGAGTCTCACTCAGGTACTGAGGGGCGAGTCCGTTTAGAGCTTTATAGGTCAGTAAGAGAATTTTATAATCAATGCGAAATTTAACTGGTAACCAGTGTAAGGTTGATAAAACTGGGCTGATATAGTCGAACTTTCGGGTTCTAGTAAGAACTCTGGCTGCAGCGTTCTGGACCAACTGAAGCTTGTCAAGGCTTTTGCTGGGACATCCAGCCAGCAGGGCATTACAGTGATCCAGCCTTGAGGTAATAAATGCATGAACTAACTTTTCTGCATCCTGTAGAGAGAATGCATTTCTCAATTTAGCAATATTGCGGAGATGCAGGAAGGCTGTTCTAGTAATATTAGTTATATGTGCGTCGAAGGACAGATCAGGGTCTATAATGACACCAAGATTTTTTATATATTTAATGGGTTAAATGGAAGTGGTCAAATATCTGTTTTGTAATTTTCTTTACTGGAAAAACTGAAAGGCTTTGGGGTAAAAAAAAAATCTGCACTTTCTTAGTAAATGAACTGTTTTATATTGCAAAATAAGTATTTAATAAACCTGCAGAAACAGCTCCTTCAGTACTAGATCTATTTCTGTTTCTGCTGTCAGGTCAGGTGGAACCATGAGCTTCACATGTGGAATCCTATCACTGATCATCCTGCTGAGTATTACAGGTAGGGTTATTCTGATTTTACTGAATCACTGGGTTTAGTCCTGATTAGAGAGAGAGAGAGAGAGAGAGAGAGAGAGAGGGAGGATGAAAACTAAGATAGTTCATTTAATGAACAGACAGCACTGGAGAACTGCCTCTCAGAAAGCTGGACAGGTCATCAAAAGCCACACAACTCTAGTCCACAGACTCACAGACCCACTACCCCCAAGCCATCCCCAGATAATAACACACAGATAACACACAAACACCCTCCAGGATAACAACAACTATTAACAACAATAAAGTCTCCCCCCACAGTGAGTGCAGTTCTTCCCAAGAGGCTCCTCATATAACTGCTCTGCAAAGCTACGCCTCCTGGCTCATATGGCCCTGCAAGCCAGTAGCAGAATGCTACAATATACAGGGAGTGTTTTCAAAAAGAATGTCTATAATAATAATAATAATAATAATAATAATAAGAAGAAGAAGAAGAAGAAGAAGAAGAAGAAGAATCTTGTCTGCTCATACAATGTCCTTTGTTTTAATAATGCTGTATAATTATATATGTATATAACATTTTTTGCACCCTGTAATCTCAAATGAAAACCTTAGTTTATATAAATAAATGCCCAAAGGTGGGGCTACATGGGAGGAGACAGGACAGGGCAGAGCCAGCAACAGGTCACTGTAACATCACCTCACTTTAGGGCCTGCAAAAGTGGTTTCTAAACCATAATTAAGTAATGTTTTGTATGTGACATTCATTGTCATTTTAATATATTGATAAATAATGAACACCGTATTAGTTCATAATTAAACTATGATGAATTAACTGCTAATAGATGTCTTATAAACCATGGTTAAAAGAAATTGTTTCCATCATTTGTTTAACATGCAAGTCATGGAGAAAACATGTTTCATTACTGATCATCATTATAACCAGTTAAGTTACAGAGTGTCTCAGAATCAACACCAGGAAGAAACAAGAAACACAAGAAATCAGATCAGAAACTAAAAACTAGGCAAGTTTATGTATGAATATATTTCAGTGTTGCTGCAGTAACTGACCAGCTTTTCAGAGAGAGATTAGAGATGAGATTAGTGAACATGAAGGGCTGCAGTTATGAAGGAATTTTGCTTCCAATTGTAGAAATAACCTGCTTAATCAGAACTAACATCAGTCAGATTCTGTAGGTGTTGATTTGAGTGACTCCTGCAGACTCAGTGCTGCACACTGTTTCAGTTTCAGGTTCTTTGGGTGAGACTCTGAGAGTGACCTGCAGTCCTCAGACTATCTGTGCTCTACGGGAATCAACAGTGACCCTGCAGTGCTCTCACTCAAACACCAACATCAGACCTCAGTACAGCTTCTGGTTCAGCCCCAAACAAAAAGCTAAATGGAGGAACGAGGAAGATCCAGAGGATTTAGCTTTAGACTCAGACTACGCAGGACGAGCGAGATACACAACCAGCCCATACAAATACAGCTCAACTCTTACAATATCAGACCTGAGAGAGAGAGACTCAGGAAAATATCACCTCATGATCATTACAGAAACAGGACAGAAATATTCCAGCTCAACAGCAGTTACTCTAACAGTTTCAGGTAATACAGCCCAACTACAGTGATCTGATCAGTCAGTTTAACTTTGTGATGCTGATATTTGTGTACAAGATATTTGCTGGAATGTTTTTACATTTATTTCCACTCAGATCTGCAGATGAAGGTGATTTCTAAAACTGAACAGCAGATGAAGTTGAGCTGTAGCACTTCCTGCAGTTTGTCCTCTAAACCTTCTGATTACAACTGGTACAAAAACAGACAATATCAGCTCTCAACATATGAACATCAGAAGGTTTTAAGTGTATACAGCAGTGCTGGTCCTGGCAGCTACTCCTGCTCTGTTAGCAGCCATCCTGAAATCCGATCCAATACAGTGTGTGAGTATGAAAGCTGTTCATATCTAATTGTTCATTTACATTTATTGCATTTAGTAGATGCTCTTATCCAGAGCGGCTTACAAAAAGTGCTTTGTTTTCTACTCAGAGAAAGTATATTTGCTAGTTACAAATAGGTGAGAGAGAAAGCTGGTCCTGAGCTCAGATACTGCTAGAATCTAAAGTTCAGTTCAGGATCCATAACGGCAAGAAGGTGATAATCCTTTACTTTTACAGGTGTTTTTGATAAGAACTGCTGGAATGTAACCTACTCAGACAGAAGAGTCTGTGCTTTGGAGGGTTCATCAGTGGACTTTCCCTGCACTTACTCATATCCCAGTGATCGGACAGTTACTGAAACATTCTGGTATTACGTTCGGCCTAAAGTGGAGCCGACAGATCTGAGTGTTGAAGAGCAGTTTGCTGGTCGAGTTGAGTTTCATGGAGATAAAGAGAGAAACTGCACTCTGAGAATGAACAATCTAAAAAAGAGTGACTCTGGAGAATATCGCTTTAGATTCATCACTGATACTGCAGGAGGGAGTTTCTCTGGTTATCCTGGAGTCATTCTGAGTGTTGAAGGTACGCTTCCACACCCAGCTGTAACAGTTCTTCTTACCTCACAATGCTTTATAAGTTAGAATATTAAAAATCCTACACTTTCTGTTCCACTGTATGTTCAGATCTTCAGGTGAAAGTGAGTCCCACCACTCCATCAGAAGGACAGACAGTAACACTGACCTGTATCTCCACCTGCACTCTGACCAACAACCACACTTACAAATGGTACAAGAACGGACAGCCTGTAACTAACAAACCCAGCAGATACAACAAGCTGTACCTGGAGTCAGCAAGCACTGAGGATGTTCCACAGTATTCTTGTGCTGTAGGAGGTAACAGTTCTATGCAGGCCTAGACAGCCTGTAAAGCTTGTCCAACCTTACAATGCTAGCTACATAAAAATGTATCTGTTGGTAGAGCATGGATAAAAGTCATTACACCACTGGCTTATAATCCACCTACAGTCCATTTTAGAAGAACATTTCATCTTTCATCCTTTATAATTCGGTAATTCCAGCACATAACTTGGTGCATCACAATAACAAAGTTAAGTCAAATCTTAGAAGTAACATTTCTCAAATTCTGATACTGTCATTGTGTATTTGTGATGGTCCTGAAGGTCCAGATGAGAGCACAGTGTTAACGTTTGTCACAGTGGGCGTGGTAGTCGTCCTGGCCCTAATACTTATCATAGGATGGATCTGGATGAGGTTTGTGAACTGTGAACCTATTTTTTTTACATATTGAAAATGATGCAGGTTTAATCTTATTTCAGTGCTCATTATTTATTTTTTAGGAGAAGGAGGTCCAGCCCTGGTAAAGGCCACATGAGCACTGAGGAGAATGTACGGGTGAGAATGTTATAGAGGAGGGTCTGTATGTCAGAGATGGGACTTGAGTCAGCAGTTCTCTCTCTAATTGTTCAAAATACTTGTTACTTGTCAAAAGACTTGTTACTTGAATCAAACTTGTCCTAAACTAAACTAACTTCTTAACTTGGACTTTCTTTAGACTATAAAATTTAGTTTCAGAAAAAAAGTAACATTTAATAATTAATTACATGAATTATTATTAAGTTAAATTGTGCAATGCATGCAACTCAGACATAGCTTTAAATATCGTTGCCTTTTATAGAAAACAATTTAATCTGATGGACATAATTGAAATGTAGCATAAATATGATGTTCAAAGTAAACCTGCAAAAAAACAAAGATTGGTTTGTTGGTTTCTCAAGCATGTTTGCTTGTTAGCCTGTTGGATTAGTTAACAAATCTAGCAAAAGAAATTGTGATACATTTGTTTCAGTAACAGATCACAGGCCTGCATATGACCAGTTCTAGAGAGCTCTTAGTGCTTTCTTGGTCTTCCAGATCTTGACTTGACTTCACTGCTATTTCATAATGACACGTCAGAAAGGTTAAAGCGTAATTTAAAGTGCTTTGATATCTAGCCTTCTCCTGCATTGCAGACACCAATTAGCTTATTTTTCAGATCTTCAGCCAGTTGCTTAAGGTAGCCAGCATCTGATTCTTGACCTGCCTAACCTGTCCTAACAAGGCAGATAAGGCTAAACTGGAAGGGTGTCCAAATATTTGCACAACCCTTATTTACTATTTTTTTCTATTTCTGAAGTTAATCAGATATAAAGTAATTATGCGTTAACATTAGCAGAAAATGTAATTTTGTAAACTACACAGATTGTATTTGTTCTTTTTTCTCTATGTAATCCTCTAGGGGCGCCTGAGCCTTTGCATGAGACTGTATATCCTATTATGATATTGCTGTTAGATCATTATGCAATAATTTAGGCATTTTCTACACTTTTTTATTTATATGAAGTGATTTTTTGTGACCTGTGTTGTTTATTAAGTAGCGATGATGTGAAGATGATGAAGGAGACTCCACTGATACCGCATTATTTGCATAAGATGTTTATTACAAAGTAAAACAGTATCATATCAAGCACTATAAAAGTACCTGAGAGAGGATCCGTGCCAATTCTAAAGTGCCCCCTCCAGACCACTATAGCCAATGGCTTATATAGGTTGCTTGTTGTTGAAAAAAGGAGACAGAACATATGGTCCTTATTAAAATGATCTCATCTATTTGGAACTAAGAGAAGAAGGGAGAAAGTGAGAGGCCTACTCCCTATGGGGGCCTTTGGACCAGGGGGCCCCCTTAATTTAAACATTCCAAACTCTGCAAACACAGGACGCATAGAACTTCAGACCTCAACTTATACTAGAAGTTAAGAGTGTTTTTGCCTTCTTCTATAAAACTATTCCTTTAAATACACCTCACCTGAAAAAGATCTTTGTGTTTTCAGGCATCATTTCTTGTATTTGCCAGCGCAGTAAGATAATTACACTTTGTACAGATACTTAGAGCTGCACTGTGTATTTTTTTTTTAATTTAAAAATGCTTTTTTGCACCACGTCTTAACGTATTAATGTCACATGGACAGTCTCAAAAAGAAGGTCTGGCTTTATGTTCAGGTCTCAAATGATCCCAAAATCAACATCTTACTGATAAAGATATGATGACAATAGTAGATAATTCACTCACATCCTCAGAAGATGCTCCTTCACCAAGTTTAGACTGAGTTCTCTCTGAATTCTCTTCCAATCATCAGATTCAGCCACTCGGAGAAGGGGACCGAAGCACAACCCATGCTACAAAGTGTTCTTCCAAACGTTGCATGCAGTTACACATTTCCACCACAGAGGTCTCCAAATCTCCCAAACTTACATACTGTTACTTTACATAATCAATGATATCTAGAAATATCTTTTTATATCTTCATCTGCCAAGATATCATTTACTACAGTGTGGCACATCCAGATATGAGCTCTCTCTCTCTCTCTCTCTCTCTCTCTCTCTCTCTCAGTGTGACTCTACTGCTGTGTACAGTAACCTCTCAGACCTGGCCATGACGTCTGACCCCACACAGAGAGACGAATCAGATAATCAGGATGGCGTTCACTACTCCAACGTTGAATTCAAGCACTCTTACATACAGAAAGAGGCTCCGCCCCCTGCTTCCACACTTCCTCTTTACTTCATAGATGACCAGGATGTTCAGTATGCAGCTGTGAACTTCAGCAGAGAGAGTGCTGCCCCCCAGTGAGAAAACCACTTCATGACATCTACACTAACTTTAACACCTTTACACAGATACATGGATAAACGCTTTTAATTTACTCTTATTATTAAGTAAAGTAATCTGCAAATGTTTAAAAGTTACCACTTATACAAACATTCTCAGAATTCAATCTGCTAAAGAAGAGTGAATCATCCTATAGGACTGCAATACAGTGTTTACTATATCCACCATTTATGAGTCACACAAAAATCAATGCTTATCAACTCATTTCCCCAATCAAAATCAAGTTTACAGCAACATAAGAGTTAAGAGTTCAGTCATTTTCAGTCCATTGACAGCTGTATAACAAAGTCAGAGTAAACAACAACAGAATTGGATTTCTCTCAGTGGGATAAATGTTCTTGAGTGCTTTGAGCCGTCCATGCTGGTGTCTTTTATCTCTCCACATTTAAGAGAACGTTCTAACAGAAGCGATTTCTGTGGATTATTCTGCTTTTCTATTTAAGATACATCCTCTCTACTTGCAGAATGAGTTTGAATATTTCTTAAAAATTCCACCAATGCAGCAAATCACTGGCATGAACACTGAAGTAGGGAAGTTAGCAATGAAGAGAAAGAAAGAAAAAAAGAAAATCCTCTGAAATGAAACAGCACAAAACCACAAGTGAGTAGACGTTTAAAATATCACCGTAACACATGCTTGTATCTCTGTTTTTACAGCCTCTTTGCATTGTGTCAAAATTTTATGATGAATGGACCAATAGAAATTCTTAAAAAATAAAAAGGAAAATAAAATGTTACATTAACGTCCATTACAAGTTAACAATGTTTATTCTTTCTGGATGCTGGACAGAGATTTAGAAGTTCTGTTCTAGATCTGCACTTAAATAATCAACATTTCATCCAAATCACACAGGAGAAAGACGGGGAGGACTTTAAGACAGTGTGTTAGAGTTCAGGGAGTGTTTTGATTATTAATTATAGTATGTTAATAATGTGTTGGTTCTGTGTTGAAATTATAATGGACAGATTGACAGTTTAGCATTTACAGAACCAAATCACAGTGTTCAATGTGTGAGCAAAGTTCTGATGATAAGGGACGGGATGGAGATGACCACACCAGGAAAAACAGCTCAAAAGGTCCATCACTGATAGTGACTGGACTCCAGGTAGAGGCCTGGTACAGTGTAATGGTAGCAGAGCAAGACGCTCACAGACGAGGCTTGTGTTAAGTACTTTATTAACAAAGGGGTGATATAAAATCAGTCGTTAACCAAAAAAAGGGCAAGACAAAAATCAAGGTCATAAACAGAAAACAGGTCATACACGGACACTCGCCAACAGACATGGAGAGCAGCTCGGTACACTCGGCTACAGGTGATTATACTTCACAAAGAGTAGATAGAAACAGGTTACATACGCAGGAGAACAGGTGGATGTGATTAGAAGTCTGGAGAGGCTGAATGGTGATAGGGGGATCTAAAGGAGTCCTGAGTCATGTGAGGGAGCGAAATGTAGTGGGACATGTAGTCCGAGGCAGCTTAGTCGGCTGTAGTTCCAGCCGGGCTGGAGGGAGGCGTGACATACAGACAGAACACATTATTGACAAATTTTGATTTGGACTGTAATGTAATTCTGAGTGTGATTTCAGATCAGACTTCATCCAATAAATTTGACTG